GAATTTGCCTTCCGATTCCCCGGAAGTTCGTTCGTTTCTGGTATTAATGACACTTGATATTTTCAGAGCGTTATTTTCTCTCTTTTTATACATATATATCTATATTATATGCATACATATATATATATATATATACATATATATATATTATTTATATATATTATTGTGTACATATACATATATGCAAAAAATATGTTAAAATTGCATATTTTTTTTAAAAACAACTGTGTGTTTTCTCTATACTATTCGATTCATCTCATTATTTTGTGCATAAAAGTATTGAGATACAATTATGAAGAAATCAATAATTTATGGGATATATCATATTTCATTTCAAATCTTACAACTTTTGTCTGAAACATTTTTTTTCGTCTTTTATATCAAAATATGACATCATAAAATATTTAATATCTCATAAAGTATTGGTTTTTCGATTTATCTTTAACGAACTCGAACTTTATCTTAATACTCGTATTTTTATATGTAGAATAATTAGATGATAATTAGATGCGAGCCACATATGATGCAAAAATATACGCCGACGCAAAGCCGGAAATATCCGCCAGCGCAAATAGTAGCGAAAATATTCAGCGGAGGATAACGTCTAATAGAAGAAAAATAGAGGACTCCGAAAGGAGGGGACTCTAAATCTGCTTCGCTTCAATAGCCGACGGCTAATGGAAATCGCTCACGAATTAACTTCCTCGTTAGATCTTCCACAATTAATCGCGATTACCTCGCGCGCCGCGCAACAATCCGATATATTTGCATGTACTGCGCCATAAGTGTTTCTACAACGCCCGTACATTACATGCGTCTTGCATAAAAACGTCATGCGGCGACGCCGCGAAGAATGCCTTCACATCCGGCGTCATCCCCTATTTCGGAAGTTTCGTCTCGACGGTAAAAGTTAGAGCTCCCGGCGCGGTGGCGCGTCCAAACAAAATATCCTTTGTTCTAAGAGAAGGAGTCAAATTCGTGCGCGCGCGCGAGAGGTAGAAAAAAATCTTTTCAAATTCACCACCGTCTTGCTCGACAAAGGAGCGAAGATTTTTTCGAATCGAAATTTCTTCTGAATTATCTGGTCGAAACGAGTTTAAATATTTAGACATGACTTCTCCTGATTTGCAGTGTGTGCTAATCGAAATTTTGATATTAACGATAATGCGCGTCCGTTGCGCAGCGCAGCGTGCGTGATCGTCTCTTTGTATTTCTTCGAAATCTTCGATGCGGTCGCTAACAAACTTTCGACAATATTAGCTTATTTTAAAATAAAATCTAGAAAGGATACTCGATATTTAAAATGTAATGAGCAAATAAGAGTCAAGCGTATAGTTAGTGAAGCGCAAATTTATCTTTTTTATTAATAGTGACAACTAAATTACAAAATTTACAAACGTTTCAATTTATCTTCGAGTCATCATCAGTATCTTAAAAAAATTAAAATATTTCACGATCTCAAAGCAGGAATCAATCTGCATAAAATTGAGTGTTTTATTCACCTTGGTTACAAAGCCATGTGATGAATATAGTGAATACAGTCCGCAAAGAGTCGCAAAGTATCAAAAAACAAAACGTAAAATCATTGTCGTGGTCGAATTACAATAATTGTTAATAAAAATAAATTACATTATTAAAATAAAGATGAACTTCAGAAATGATGTCGTGCCAAATTTCTTTGACATGTGAATGTCGGGGTTATCGATCGTCAAACTTTAAAGCATTAACATATTTATACTAATGAGAACTTTAGCATATTTTTTAGCGGACGCTATAAATAATTAGTAGCAGTAGTTTGGTATACAATTTTAATAATATCACGACACAATAGATTCTCGGTTTTTTAAATCTGCTGTCAAAAAATATTGTAGATCCATTACTTTATTTTCGTCATATACCTATTCTCTGCCGGCAAATCTTGTTAACGCTTTTGCCGAAATTTTGCCACATTATTGATTCCTGCAATTTACCGCAGCCCGCCTTTCTGCTAATAAAGTTTGTAGCAAACGCATCGCATAGTCTCGCTCCCGTGATTATCTGGAAATATAACGGTGTGCGATGTCATCTTTATAACAAGATGCCGTTTTAATAGAATAGCACTTCAATGTTACTGTCAATTTTTTAAATAATCGCGTTTAAAATACGAACACGCGGATTATATTCGTTATATAGATATCGTCATTATCAGTATTATTTATTAAATTTAATGGGATATCAATGTAGTACTTTATTATGCGTCCATTAAGTTTATTATATTTTACGAATTAATTTCACAAATTATAAGATTTTTCAAAATATAATTCGATATGTTACGCGTTACTTCTGTATTACTTTCGTGTTTTTCTCCGAAGATTTTATATCTAAACGAAATCAGCAAATGCTCTGTTCACAAAATAAACGTTTTTTAAAATATGAAAACAGATTTCATCTGCATTATACATATTATAAGATCAGTTAAATGTTAAATGTAAATTATGTTTTTTTTTCATAAATTGGTATTTAATAAATATGTATTACGTATGTACCTTAGAACATATATTAATAATATATACCTATATATATATGTACCTATATATATATATATATATAACTGTTAAAATATAAACTCGCAATCATAGGTATAGTATAAATAGACCGAGAACTCATATCACAGTAAAAATAGTAGTTTCATTCTTCCAATTTGAGTAGGCAACAAAATCACACATAGTCAATTAGTAAATTTAATACAAAATGTTCTGATTAGTGGCAGTAAAAGCTAACTCAGTTAGCCCGAAGTCGTCCGAGCCGGCCGAGCTAACGTTACCGAGCGAGAGAGTCGGACTGCTATTGTCATCTTCGTCTACTAGCCGAGGCTGCCCGACTCCCGTAACTCTCGTTACAGGGCAAAAGTCGTGCAGGTCGTGCTCCTCTTGCTACCACGAAATACGGATCGTCATTCGTGTCGTGATCACCGAACCCGCCGGACGTTCGATTATTGTATAAGACGCAGGGTCCGCCGCCATACCAGTCTGTTAAGTATTGAGAACCGCCAAAAAACTTTCGTATTTGATGATTCTTTTTTTTTAATTATCCTTTGTTTGAGCCTGTACAACAATATTGTCATCTGACGCAGACATTTCACCTACTGCTTTTTCAACCGATCATGCATGAGAATAAGTTTCTGTAATGTTTTTGCATAAATATTAATTTTATTTAAAATTTTAATATAACATAAATATAAGATAAAAACCAACCATAAAGACCAAAGCTCTCATAAAATTTTAATTTTTTCTAATCATCACATGGCAACAACTTTTTCGTACAGGCTTGAGTTGGTTACATTTTAATGGCATTTTAAATGTGGATAGCTCAAAATTTATCCATGTCTGTGGTACTGTTGGTCAAAAAATGGTCATTTTTGCTTCAATGTTGAATAACTCGGTGAAAAAAAATCACACAATGCTGGTCAAGTGCTCAAATTAAAGCTAAAGATTCACGCTTTCGAACGCTGTAAACCTTATTTGCTTGCGATTTTTATTTTCCTTTCTAAAACGTTGCAAAGTTTGGGGGAGATTTTGAGATACGACGTATCTTTTTTGCAAACTTTGCGAAGTTCTAGAAAGTAAAATAAAATTTGTTAAGATATTTAAAATCGGCAAGCAGGTGCTGTTTCCGTGTCGATCGTACACGTTTGTACCACCTTCCGTTTTGTTTGTACTCTTAAGGGGGCGATTGTACCGAATTTTCAAAATAGGGGTAAAAGTTAACTTCGCCATTTTTTAAGATATTTTAAATCGGTAAGTGGGTGTTGGTTCCGAATTGTTTGTACCACAATTCGTTTGGTAATAGCCATGTTGTTTTAATTATTTTAGATTTTTTAATTTTTTTTACTTTATTTTTTTAAATTTTTATT